TTTGGAATATTGGTAATATTGTTGTGTTTAATCTTAGAAAGTGTGAATATGTGTTTTTTTTTCTTCTTCTCTGAGTGTGTGTGAGACACAGCTCGTATCTCTCGTGGATTACGCTCTTAGTCCATTAGTTAATAGTAAATTTCGAATCTTTTTCCTTACGTCCAAACTATTTTTTTGAGAAACTAGAAAATTTATATAAAGTTTTCTTTGGAATATTGGTAATATTTTTGTGTTTAATCTTAGAAAGTGTGTTTTTTATTCTTCTCTGGATGTATGTGAGACTCATATCTCTCATGGATTACGTTCTGAAGAATTAAGCCTTCTTAGACCGTTAGATAAATAGGAAAAGCGAGAAAGGGATGAACCAGAACAAAAAAATAAACGTGGGATGTTTTTTTCTTCTTCAAATCCTTACAAATGAAAGGGTTGTTTAATTTTTTTGCGGGGATCAAAGAGCGAGGAGGCCGGATTAGGTGGATGAGATAGGAATTCCAATCAGCTTAATTACATCCGAAGGATTTATGGTAATGATAATAACATCGACATCAACAACGACTGTCCGTTTTCTCCTATATATATATTTAGTTTTTTTTTTGTTTCTGTACGTTTGTTTCGTGTTTTGTGGGGTTGAGGGAACGGAGGAATGTAATGGAATGGGAAGGGAAGAGCGTGTTCGATGTGCCCGAAAATAATTCGATTCGATCCGTCCACCTTTTGTGTGTACATTAAAACAATTCATTAAACCTGATGTATTTTCGATGGGGGTTGTGGGGGGCGGCTGCTCCTGCTCAGGGCAACGTTCATTGGCGTGTCACTTTTTACCGCCCCGGGGGTTGCTGGATTATCAGTGGAGGCGGCGGCAGCAGCAGAAGCAGCAACTGCCACACATCACCCCAGAATAAATTAGCCGCGAACGCTCGTCTCATTCCTCTCTCCGCTTCGTGACACCACCCATCCTTTCCCCTAACACCTAAAACTTTTCTCTTCGCAAACAATAATTCCGAACTCTCACCCCTTCAACCCCCTGGTGAAACGCAATTCCTCTCTCACCCAATTGTCACACGACTCTTCCGCAAATCCGCAATCAATTTGATACCGAATCGCATTCCTCAAACTCGAAAAATTTAATTAATAAAACGCCACTCGAAAATATCTTTCAGCGCCAAAGCCCGGCAAGAAATTTTCAATTAATCCTTTCCATTTCTTCCTTTTTTATTCCGTCCACCTCTCGCCCAACAATTTTTGAATTCTCTTCCATCCGCTGAAACTAAAACGTCGGAATCAATCAATTCCCAATTCAAATTATCATCACGATTATTATTATCGTCGTCGTCCGCAAGGTTCAATTAAAGATTCCGCGATTCCAGGTGGAGCTGTGCTTTGTGTGACGAAATTGGAAGGATTTGCGAAGGAAATTAAGTTGTAAACTTTTTTCTCCTTCTACTTTTTTCTTCCTGTTATATAAATGAGGGCAATTCCATTTTGCCTTCGGTCTTGCCTTTCGTCCCTTCTTTTTCGTTTTTTTCTTTTCTTCTTCTCCCTTCATCATCTCTTTTTCTCTCGATTTTTGCAAACGGGAACGCATTAGGCTGTTGCAGGACAGAAAAGGAGAAGCAGAAAAAAGGAGAATCAGCTCTAATAATCCAATTAAACTTTCTTAAATAGTTTCCTGAAAATTCAAGCGAACTTTAGAAAGAGCGAGAGCTTAATGTTTCTCTTCTCATTTATTATTATTTATGAACGAAATCCGTACATTCGACTCCAATAAGCAATCGTTTTAGAATTCAATCGAATTGAATCCGAACATTAAACGCAGATTTCACGTAAATCCACTTTTATTAAGTTATTAACTTTATTTCACTGATAAATGCAACGACTTACAATAAATTTAGTAACACATATTATATTAATATAATATTGAATTGTAATTGATTACTATGCATTTTTCGTTTGCTGCTTCTAAGAACATAAATTCGTTATGGATTTGTCCGTACAGTTACATGAAGAGTTTTTTTTTTTTTATTTATTTTCGAAATAGCTGCAGCGAGCATTGAAAAGCGGATTTATATGGGTTCGCAATAGCGATTTGTTTGGTCGGTTGGTTTATTTCTTTCGTTCATGTTTCGTTCGCGAGTGGAGGAGATAAAGAGCGAAACGCGCGCGTTTGTGCTTCGATTAATTTTTGGAATGGCTTTAAACGGCAGAGGTGGGTTTCGTTCATCCACTGTTCCTATTTATTTATTTCTTTTTCCGTTTCATTCATTGCTCCTCTCCATTTTCCACGTACAGTGTGTAATTTGTTGTCTCCCGCATTCCCACGTCGGCAATGGCGAAAAAAACAATGTGCGCAACGATTTATTCCGTTTTTCCGGTGATTAACTTCGGACGTTCCGGAATTTTTACGCTCGAAGCTTAAAAATTCGTCTATTCTCTCCTATATGTATATATATATATATACTTTATGTTGTTGTTTGTTTGTTTTGGCCTCGGGTGGATTTGATTTTCGCGAAAATGCAATGCCGTCTGGATGCAGCGAAGCCCGACCGTTGCCGCCCCCTACTGTTTCCTGGAAAAAAGTCTGCATGAACCAGACCCTTCTCTCTCTCCCTTTCTTTCTCTATCTCTCTCTTCACGCCACCTGCTGTTTCCACGCCGCTGCACATTTCCTTGCCTTTGCTAACGAGACAAAGGATGCGAAGGTGGGACGAAGAAAGGGTGAAGTCTGCGGAGGGATAAACAACTGGATTTTCAATATAATTGAGATTTGAAGGGCGAACGCTGACCGTTTCCTAGCGATAAATCAAAGTGGGCGACGGTTTTGCAACTGGACTCAGAGTGTGTCGACCAGCTTTGGGGGGGTGAGAAGGAGAAGAGGATCGTCGCTAAGTTCGGGCAGATTGTAAAGTTGCGGGGTCCTGTTTTACGAGGTCCTGGCGTAGATTGTGCACGGACACGATTCGCAATCCTTCTCCAAACCCCGCTCCTCCCTCGCCGGAGCTCACACAATTTATATACTTGCACAGCGAGCGAGAGAGAGAGAAAGATAGAAACTCAATGAGTTGGAAAAAGAGAGAGAGAGAGAGAACAAACACACATCCACTGAAGGGGGGAACCTTCAGTGTACACACACAAACACACACACACTCGTTCCATGTAGCATACGGTCGGTGGTCCATTGATCCAGAAAGCTGAAAAATATGTTCAGTGTAATCGAGTTAATTAAACGTTGCTGCTTTTGTTATTTATTTAATCGTTAAGGGGATTTCAGCTCTTTATTTATCAGGTTGAAATATACAGTGGTGTGTCAGAAAATGCTGCAGATTAAATGAATTAATTATATTCATTTCATTTATTTACAGCAGCGGTCGGGGAATTACCCAAAATGGGGTAAAATGATTTTTTTTTGGGTAATAGGGAAATTTTTCTAATTTCTTCTTACCAAACTCAGAGAGCGGTTCTCTGACTACTTTTCACATCTTGATGTACAAACTGTGAATTGGGTTGTAGATCCTTTTAAATGTGAAATTACTAACATACCAGAAGAACCTCCAGGTTTGGCAGAGGCAACTTCCATCCAATACTGTATTCAATTTGTGACCAAAGCAAATCTGTCGTCTTTTTGCT